CGGCTCCCCCGAGCCCTGCGCCCGGCCGGATCGGAGCCCGCGGGGCTGCGGGCCCGCCGGAGCCGCCGTGGGAGCGGGCTTCCCCGCGACACCTCCCCGCTCGGCCCCTCGCCCAGGCTGGGGAAAGGCACAAATCTGAAGTTGTCTTAAGAAATTGAGCTCTCTCGGTGAGCGCCCTTTTCTGCTGATCTCACACTTTCCCATGAATAGGGGCTTCCTTTCCGTGTCAGCAAGGTCAGTTTATCCTATAAATCAAGGGCGAGCAGCCCCCATCTGCGGCATCGGCCGCTCAGCAGCCCCGGCTCTCTGCTGGGAAGGGGAGGGGGGAGATTTGACGCTGCAGAAAGATGTGTGCAGCTCCGAGGTCTGAGGGAGACGGGGCAGATACCGAGGCACCCGGCAGCACGGGCAGAGGCCTGCCTGCCTGCCAATGTGGTGTTAATAAAAGAGCAACTCACTAAAAAAAAAAAACAAACTCCTTTTCTCATGTGATTGTAATGTTCTCATTCTTTTTAATGTTCACTGCCAACACTACCTCTCCCCAACACAGAGCAGAGATTGCCAAGCGTGTATTTGTTAAAATCGACTCAGAAACACATTTGTTTGTGCCAGTGTGATCTGAGGATAAAGTTTATATCGTGAAGTAGAGGGTGAAGAAGGACAAAACTTATATATTTTTGTAGGTACGAATACAAATAAAACATACGTATGTCTCTGTGTGTGTATTGCTTGAAAAAAGCACCACCTTTTTGAGAAAAGATGAAGAAAATTATTCTGCAGTGCCTAAAGGATCAGTTTGCATTTGAAGTGCTGCTGGAACCGGATTGTTGCCGGTAAAAACGCAATGAAAACAGAAATCACACACACACCCCCTCCGCTAATTGGGAGGGAAGAGTGGGACACAGAGATCGCTGTAGGCGAAGGTTATTTTAGACTGTTGTTTTAACCACATCCACTGTTAGTTCACTGGCAGAGAACGAAATGGAAAAAATGTCCCTTTCTTTGCGGCAAAGCGTAGCGAGCGGCTGGGAGAGGCGACGCGGTTTGCAGGCGGAGAAACAGAAAGAAGGTGGAAGGGATAAAAGAAGCAAATCTTAGGGGTTTGGTTTTCCCGGACCACCGCTTCGGAGGAAAATACAGCATCAGAATGAAAGCAATTAGGTGACATTTGAACTTCCTGCCGGAGCAAATTTGGCCTGATTGCGAAAACTAAAGAAAATGGACTTCTCGGTAACGCCAAGGCGGCGCCGGTGACTGGAGGGCGGCAGCGAGACCCGGCCGGCACCCGGCCCGGGCCCGGGCC